CTGCCCTGACAGGGAACACAACAGAGAGTCCCTGATGGAGCAGGAGAAAGGTGGGGTGCAGAACTCAAATTTTAGTAAGAAGACCAGACTTAATGGTCTGACATACTGGAGGAACCCCAGAAAGCATGGCCCCTGGATTCTCTGTCAGCCCAGAACTAGAACAATTTCTGAGGCAACTCCTCAGATGGATTGGACTGCACTGTGGGACATAAAGTGATACTCGTGAGGAGTGTGCCTCTTAGCTCAAGTAGATACAAGAGAATAAATGGGCAGCTTCTGTATGGAGGTGAGATGGGATGGCAGAGAGGGATAGGAGCTGGTTGAATGGACATGGGGAATCGGGTGGAAAGGAGGAGTGTGCTGTCACAGTATGGGGAGAGCAATTAGAGTCACATAACAATGTATGTATAAATTTTTGTATGGGGAAAAACATTAAAAAATAAAAGGGCCTACAGCAGATCCCACCTGTGTCCCAAAGATCCAGCCTCCCCTTCTTCCTGGATATTTTAAATTTTTAAAATATTTACCATAAAAGCAAAGCCTCAGCCCCTCTGTCAGTTCTGTATCACTGCCTTATGTTTTCCTAGAATACGTATTTTTTAATTGTGAGATACTTCATGCTAACAAAGTGGAGGTGGTCAGTGAACGCTGTGTTTGCCCGCTGAGCTGTGTGGAGCCCCATGCCCATTCTCTGTCATTGTTTCAGCCTAACTCACACTCCTGGGCCCTGGCCGATGTGCCCCCGTGGCCTCCCACTCAGAGGCCTCATGCATCATTCATGAGTGTAGAAACAGAATCCCACGGGGCGGCCTAGGAGGGCGGCCCACCAGCACCTGGCTTTCAGCAGCCCCGGAGCCTTGTGGACAGAGGGCTACGGCAGGGGGTCTGAGACAGGCAGGTTGGTCCTGGGTGGCTGGGGAGGGGCCAGACCAAGTGCAGCCTGAAGAGGGCTGCCCTCAGTGAGCTAGGCAGGCCTAAGAGTGAGCACCCGTCATGGGGGACCCTAGTGAGTAGGGATGACCCAGCCAGCATTGGGACGGACTGGTGCTTGGTGCAGGGCTTGGACCTGCCTCTGAGGGTGGGGGTCAGGGAGATATCAGCACTTGTATTTCTTCCTTATTCACCTAAAACTTAAGAGAAGCTAAGCTCAACTACAGCATCTTATACCAAGGCGTTAATTGAGCACCTCCTATATGCCAGGTGGGCTCTGGGTATCTCCTCAGGGCCACCCAGCGAGGTGGGTGGGCTGTTGGCAGAGGGCGATGCTGCCGCACAGAGGCCAGCAGCTTGTCTGGGGCCACACAGCCGGGAGGTGCAGCGTCTCCACCGGGGAAGGCTCCGTTTCATGCCCGGGCAAGTGTGTGAGGATCAGGAATCCAGCTCCCTCTGCTCACACACCTCCTCCCTGCGGGGGCACAGAATGGGCAGGCCATGGAGAGGGGCCTCGGGCTCTGGGCTACTGCCCAAATGGCACCACCTGCGTGGAGGGCGAGGGCAGCACACATTTTCAAGGCCAGCATGTGTGTGCTGACTAGTGCTTTCATGACTTCATCCCTGGGGAGAGTTCTGCCCAGGCTGAACAGCATTCTGGGGTTTCTTAGTGCAGTAATAACCACTTGCTGCCCTGTGCCAGGGACATGACAAGGCCTTACCTGCAGGGCCCCGTTTGGCCCACCAGGCAGCCCTGCCGCAGTCACGGGCCCATTTCACAAGGAGGAAACTGGGCTAGGAATTGGGAGGGGACTGCTCAGGCCCATGCGGCCTGTGGCGGGGGAGGTGGTGGAGTAGGGCGGAGGGCAGCCCCCCCATCCGACTGGCCATGGCTGACTGTGCCCCATTCTGCAGCCACTGCGCTGGGTCGGGAGAACCCAGCCCATCAACATAAACCACTATGCCAACAAGAAGAGTGCAGCCGAGAGCATGCTGGACGTCGCCCTCCTGATGGCCAACGCCTCCCAGCTCAAGGCTGTGATTGAGCAGGGCCCCAGCTTCGCCTTCTTCATGCCCCTTGTGGTCCTCATCTCCATCTCCCTTGTTCTCCAGATTGGCGTGGGCGTGCTGCTCATCTTCCTCGGTAAGTGCCTGCCCACCCAGCCAGAGGGCCCACCTGTGGGGGAGGCCCGTGTCTGCTTGCCCACTCTTTCCTGTGTCCAGAGCTGCCCAGCTTCTCCCCGCCCCCGATGTCTCTCCTTCCTTCCACCCAAGCCTATAACACTTGGGAAAATACCATAGCCACACTGGGTTAATGTTCATGAGCACCACTATGTGCCATCTAACCCTCACAGGAGCCCCACAAGACAGGTGCTGGCATTGTCCCCCTTTTCCAGAGGTGGACGCTGAGGTGCAGAGAGGCTGGGCCTGGCCCAGTGCCACCCTCTGACACGAGGAGGGGTGGGTAGCAGCACTGTCTGGGATGGAGAAACTTCAGCAGGCCAGAGCACATGGGGAGGGGACCAGTGCTGCTCGGCAGACAGGCCTGGGGGCCTGTAGACTCCTCCGAGTTGAGGGGGGCTGACTCATAGCGATCCTATGTACAGCAGAATGAAACACTGCCCGATCCTGCGCCATCCTCACAATAGTTGCTGTGTTTGAGCCCACTGTTGCAGCCACTGTGTCAATCCATCTCCTAGGCCATCCTCTTTTTCACTGACCCTCTAACTTACCAAGCATGATGTCTTTCTCCAGGGACTGGTCCCTCTTGATAACAAGTCCAAGGTACATGAGACAGTCTCGCCATCCACGCTTCTAAGGAGCATTCTAGCTGTACTTCTTCCAAGACAGACTTGTTTTTTCTACTAACAGATAAGTGCTGGGCCTGTTACTGTTTCTTTCTACTCTGTCTTGGAGAGTCAGCAATATTTTATTAATCCCGATCTCATTCTCTTTAATTTTACCTTTTCATCTTTTTACACTGAACTGGAGCAGAATCGACTCCTTTTTTCACAGTGATTTCCAAAGGTTTGTACTTGTATTATGTTTCAGTTTCTCCATTTCTCAGTGCTGTGTATGTATATAACCTGTATACACACACTTAATATATATAATAATGGCTCACTTCCTCTTGAGCACCCCCAGGGAACTGGCAAAAGCTGTATCACCCTATAAGACTTGGCCTCAGATGTCACATAGTGTCACTTCTGCAATCATCACAAGCCCATTCAAGTTCAAGGTGAAGAGACACAGGCCCCACAACTCAGCACCTCCACTGAGATGTGCCGAGGTCATGTGTGATGGGAGATGTTGCTGCTGCCATTTCTGGAGAATACAGCTGGGCAGCCTGCCCTCCTGCTACAGTATTTCAGTCCCTCCACATGCATAACACTCCCTCCAGGGCTACCAAGTCTCAGCCCATGATGGCATCAGCTTGAAGTCTAGGGTCTTATCATCTAACTCAGGCCCAGGCGAGGCCCTCAGATGCAGCCTCTCTTGGTCTGAAGACACATGAACTGCACGAACAAGTGATCTGCCTCCCTGCCCACCCCCAGGACCCCCAGGAGGTCAGGGCTTGGGCCAGCCACAGCCCAGGCTCTCCTTGCACAGAGCAGCTGCGGGAGGCACACAGGAGCACGGGTCCTTCCTGGGCTCAGCCCTGTTCTGTTCTGAGAGTTGTTCGCTGTGGCTCTTGGTTCCACAGTCTGAGTCATCCTTCCTTTTCCATGAGGAATTGAAGTTTACAATTGAGTCCTTTTCTCAGCTTGCTTCCTGTATGTAGAAGGCTGAGGGACCAAAGGCCTCCTTCAGTTTGTTCTGTATAAGGTGGTGGTGTTTCTGTCAGAGCAAATCTTTCAAGTGATGTGGGTTTTCTGTGAATCACATTGGGGTTCATGGCATTAAACAGAAGCCACTTCCACACATCTCCCTGAAGTTAGCCCTTCTCCACCTTGGACGCCTCGTGAAGCAGTGGGCGGCATAAAAGCCCACTGCTCAAGAGAAGGGTCATTGAGGACCCTTAGAGGGCTTTCGTCTTCCAGAAGGTTGGGTCTTTCAGTGTTGGATCTCCTGCTCTCTGCTTCGCAGACTCTCCTCACACCCTGCGTGAACAAGTTATGGGAGCAGGTCCCCGAGAGCCAGGGCAGAGGCTGGGCTCTGTTTACCTCGGTGTCCCTGGTACACACGTGTCAAGGATGGCAGGAGCATCGAAGTTACACAGCAGGTGTGCCTGCTGAGGCAGGGATCCTTGGCCTGCCGCCATCGCCACCGACACGGCTACCTGCTCCTGGCAGCTGGCCATATTTGAGTGAAAACCTGAACTGCAGGCTGTAGCCACCAACACGCCACTCTTCCCCAACACTAAGTAGCTAAATACCATCACCTCAAACTCAGACCAACTTCCTCCAGTGGATAGACAGAGGGACCAGAGTGGGTGGAAAGGCGGGACTGGGCAGCTGCCCAGTGACCCCCACACCCAGAGGAACGCCCCAGAGCATCATGCTCTCACTTCACAGTGAAGGGAGAAAGGAGGCCCCCCAGCCACCCACCCCCATAGAGGGTGTCCCATGTGGGGTCTGCTGGGGTTGCTGTTCATAGGTGGTGGTGGAGGTTGAGAAGGTCACCTGAGTCCCAGCAGTGACCAGGCAGCAGTTTTTGTCCTGAGCTGATACTGCTCCCCCTGGGGACCTGTTTCACAAGGACAAGACGGCACTGCCCCGCCGCTCAGTTTCCCCCACTGCGTAGCGGGGCCGCCTTTGTGTCGTCCTGTTCACAGATGGGCTCAGTAGATGTGTGCTTAGTTCATTTTGGATTAAAGTCAGGAGCTGGGCAGAGCCCGGAACGGGCAGGGCCTGGAGCGAGCAGAGCCTGGAGCGAGCAGAGCCTGGAGCGAGCAGAGCCTGGAGCGAGCAGAGCCTGGAGCGAGCAGAGCCTGGAGTGGGCTTCAGTTTCCTGAGGAGAAAGTGGGGCTACAGAAGCCTGTCTCCAGGGTGGCTGTGTGGGTCAGAGACAATGTGGCTGCCCAGCCAGGGCACAGAGGCCATCATTGTCAGTATTTTATATATGCACGTATTTTTCTCTGTGGGACAAAACCCACCATGGAAACAAGGTCGAGGGCTCCATGGCCCCGTAAAGCACAGCCTGGCCTCACACGTCCAGATCATGCTGGGATGGAGGCCTGCAGGCCGGCCGTCTGGAAGGGTGGACTTGCCCACTGTCCCCTCTCGCCCCACAGTCAAGTACGACCTCAACAACCCAGCCAAGCATGTCAAGCTGGACTTCCTCAACAACCTGGCCACAGGCCTGGTGTTCATCATCGTGGTGGTCAACATCTTCATCACAGCCTTTGGCGTCCAGAAGCCCGTGACCGATATGGCTCCCCAGCAGTAGGGAATTCAGGTGAGCAAGGAGGGGCTGTGAGACCCACCGAGCCCAGCAGTGGCCTCGGTGCTACCTGCTGTCCACAGGTGGGAGTCCAGGGGGTTTCAGGAGGCTCTCCCTGACGAGGCCCCTGCTTACTGTGTCCTGGTGCCTTCCCTGGCCAGGGACCATGGGGACCCTTTGTGCATAGCCATGCCCATCTGTCCGGGGCTGGCTGAAAGCTTTCCTGTCCTTGTGCTGGCCACTGGGCCCAGCCCTCAGCATTTGAGCAGAAATTGTTTGGAGTCACAGTTAACAATCCGGAGAATTCACACACAAATGATATTTCTGGCTTCCCTTGAGCAGTCAAGCCTCTGCCACCGGGTCAGCACCTTCCTCAATTGCAGGCAGCAGGAGCTGGGCCCAGCCTGGCTCACTGCATCCCTTGCCAGTTGTGGAGCGAGCTGGGCTGGGCACTGATTGTGTGCCGCCCTGCTGCCTGGCTGGGCCACTGATGCTTGAGCTTGTGGGGGTAGGAAGGAAAGCAGGCTGGGAGGGATTCAAGACACCCCGCCTGCCTGCCAGGGATGGGCACCCCCTCACTCAGTCACCAGTGCCTGTGGAGGTCACCTCTGCGCTGTCTCCTTGAGTGTAGGGGAGTGGCGAGGCCACAGACAAATCTTAGGATGAGACCCACCCCATCCAGCCCTGGGGGGAAGCGGGTGGGAAGCCATGTTCTCTCCTTGCTCAGAGAGACTAAGGGTTGTGCCTGAGGATACACAATGCAGGCAGGACTTGCGGGGGACCTGTGTCGTGCACACAGCTCCCAAAGATTTAGCACTCCACACAAAGCCCCTGCCGTGTGCAGGGCTGGGGTCCCGAGGTGCTCGGAGACAGGCCCCCCCCGAAAAGCACCCACCTGGCAAGAGAGGGACATGTGTAACACAGGCAGATGCCGACAGAGGACGGAAATGAGCCCCCGAATCCCCTGTGGCCTGACCGAGCCTTGGTGGCAGCACACAGTGAGGCTATGGGCAGCCCTGGGGTAGGTGCACAGGGCTGTGAGGCCTTGGCTGCCCCAGGGTGATACAGAATATGGGAGGGAGTCGTGCAGGACGATGGGGCCCCAGTGCCGTCGGCAGGGCCCTGCTGCAGGTGACAGTCCCTCCGTGCAGTGGACACCATAGCCCAGAAGTGAACAGGAGCTTCTGTGTGCGGGCAGAGCACCCCAGGCCCCAAGATGTAGCTTCATCTCTGCTCCTGAGAGGAGAGTCCAAAAGTGACCAGTGGGGTTGGACAGTGGGAGCATGCCTTCATCAGGTGTGGTCGAGCCCACAGCCCACACCGTTCCTCACCGCCTCCAAGGTCCATGCCCACAGCCCTCTCCCCCTGAGGACACAGCCCCACGCAGGGTCAGGGTGGGGAGTCCTGGTGCCTGGTGCCCTGGATGTGGGGCCCGATCTGCCCTGGGGCCTAGGACCGGGGGCCCCACGTGGCATTCAGTTTGATGTCAGCTGCTGGCCCTGATTTGTTGCTAGGCCCATTTCATTCCCTGATGGAACCTTGGATACCAAGCTGCCCCCTTGCTCATGTCATGACTAGGCCACTTATTAATTGCCTACTGTATGCCCCAGACACAGTCCTTGAGGCAACATTGTCCCATCTGCCATGTCCAGGATGGGGCACTGGGCCTGCCATGGCTGCCCAGCCCGGGGGTCAGCACAGGCCTTGAATCCCAGGCCCAGCACTGTGTCTGCTCGCCTCCAGCTCCTGTTCTCCCAAGGTAACCCCGCCAGGGCCGTGGGGTGGTTCTTAGACACGACCAGAGGTCGTCTGAGTGGCCGCTGTCAGGGCCCCTCATGTGCTCCGTGGTCACGGTCACAGGAGCTCTGCCTGCCACCCTGCTTCAGGTTTCTAGCCCTGACAGTGACCCAGGGACACAACATCGTGACATGCCCACGTCAGGCGGGCCCTTCCGATCCCGAGTCCAACCAGCCCTGGTCAGCAGGCACCACAGAGCCCTCTCCTGGCCCCGGCCCCCTGGGGGCTCTAATGACGGGGCTAGCACCCATGCCTCTCCTCTCTCTTCTTTGCAGGGTCCCCGGATGACTCCTGCCCGTGGCCTGGTGCCCAGAACCAGGAGCTCCTTGTCCCCACAGCATCTGCCTCCCCCATTGCCCATGGCTGGGGATACCTCCAGGATGAGCTTCACCTGAGCGCTCTTGGCTGAACCTGCATGCTGAGCTGTGGCAGGCCCAGAGGCCAGAACTAGAGACTCCCTACCCCCTGAGAGCTGTGCCCCATCTCACAGTGGGGCTAGCGAGGGGCCACAACTCACCCAAGGACACAGAGCTAGTCCAGGACAGGCCAGCTGTTGGCCCTTGGCCCTCTGTCTCAGGACATTCCAGAGGGAGAGGGAGACACCCCTCTCCCTTTGCTGATGCCACCAGCTTCCTGGGCCTCATGGGGCCCTGAGTCTCCCAGGCAACACAGTGCCTTCTGCCAGCTTTGGCACTGGGGTTGGGCTTTGTGCCTTGGCTGTGGTGGGTACCCCAAGGGAGCCCAGATGGCCTGGGCCGGCCCTGGCCCTGTGCTTACCCACCCTCGGGCCTGCCCGCCCTCCACCAGCAGGGGTGGGGCAGAGCCCCAAGCCCGTCTATTTTCTAAGCATGAAATGACAATAAATCTCCCAGCTCCATGTGCCGCGTCCTTTACCCGCCAGGCTAGAGCCACACGATCGGCTGCAGTTACAGCAGGCAGGTCTCATGCCTGGGGCTGTGTAAAGCACTGCGCTGCTCTGCCTTCTGGGGACCCTTGCCCCCGGGTGCCCAGGCCTGCTGCAGGGCCTCCTCCCCCACCCTCCCTGGCCAGTTTCGGGGCCAGCTGAGAGCACCTTCTCCAGGACTGCAGGGGTGGGTGCCCTCTGGTGCCTGGGATCTCTCAGGTGCCGGCGCCGGGCCAGAGGCCTCGGTCTGCACACCCAAGCCTTGCTTCTTGTCCTTTTTAATTTCAGAGTTCCTGAATAACACAGCAAACTCCCTATACCCTTCACCCAGGCGCACCAATGGTTCACGTTTGCCACATTTGTTTTATCGCTCGCTCCAGGCCAGCGGCCCTCAAAGTGTAGGGCAGGACCTCAGTGAGCCACTGTTAGGATTGCTAGGATCGCTAGGATCGCTACAAGGCCAGTGCCTGCCCTGTCCACAGTGTCCCGTGTAGGTTATTCAGAGGAAAGTCGCTCAGCCTAGGCCCCCAGCATGGGGCTGCCTCTCCTCCACAGCCTCCCTTTCCCGATGGCCTCACCTGCCTGTGTTCATGGCCCAATGTCTGCTGTGTCCTCCTCATGACTGGGTCAGGGGACGCGTTGTTGGGAAGAATGACCCAGAAGTGCATCATCCAGGAGACGCATTAGCTGGTCGTCCCACTCCTGCTGGTGGCACCTTTGATCTCTTTAAGGCTCAGAAGCCAAGAATTGGGCTCTCCCGTTCCTCTTCGTCTCCCTTTTTGGGGTCACTGGGGGCAGGGCCAAGTGTACATGAACTATGGGGGAGAAGCAACCTTAGGATCTCTGAATATACCCCCTGTGTCCCCAGCAGAGGGCTGTGTGACTCCGTTAGTGGTGCAGAGGGCTCTGTCCCCACAGCGTCACAAGCAACCCCAAGCCCCTGGTGATGACCTAAAGTACACTGATTCAGCCATCCAGCTTCTGGTACCCCCCCCATTGACAAGTTTTTCCTTGCCCCCAGCTCACCGAGGCCTGCTGAACAAAAGTCCCAACACTTTTCCCACTTCCGTACTGGACTCAACTGCATGTCATGTTTCTGGGCCCAGCATCTCCTACTCTGGTGCCAGGGTTTGTGATTCCTCCGTCCTCCCATTTCACAGACTGGAAGGGCCCCGGTGCTTGCAGGGAGGGCGTGTGGCCATCCTGCTCTGCCCTGCAGTCACATCCAGTGCTACCTCATTGGTCAGCAGTGACTTCCCAAGGCCGATGTGGAAGGAGGGGGTGGGGACGCATGGCAGGGTGACATCCCAGGGCTGCAGGAGTCATCTGAACCGTCAGCTCATGCCACCCATTCTGGTCAGTGGCTGAGGGCAAAGCTGAGTATTGCATGCTGGGGGCCCCGCTGTATCCTCACCTCACCCACACTGGAGACTCGGGCCCTAACTCCTGAGGCCCCACCCATCCCATCTCAGGTCCCATGTTCCCCTACCCCCTGCCCCAGCCCTCACTGCCTTTACCCTGGGCCGCCACCTCCACCACTCTCCCTCAGCTGCTCCACTAGCCTCCTCCATCCCTCAGTGGAGTGGGGACACTCCACTGGCCTCTGAGGTGGACAGCCTGTTCCGTCTCACTACCAGGCCTCGCCTTGGCGGCTCCTCTACAGTGTCCTGCTCTCACCTTGCAGGGACCTCCTCAGCCCTCTGCCCTCCCCTCATCCACACAGCCTTCTAGAGCCCCAGGCTGCCAACTTGGCAAAGCCCCCTTCTCTGTCACTGTTCTTTCCCTCCCAACCTGGTGGAGTCTGCTGAGACTGAGAGTCTCCAAGAGCTTTGAGCCTTAAGATGGTTCAGTACCCCTGTGGGCTTGCATGTGGGCCTAGATGATTAGCTTAGAAGAGCCTCCTTCACCAAGTAATCAATAACAGAAGTGCTCATGGCTGAAATGATCAGATCCTGGGTTTACTGTACAATACTCTAGGAAAGAAAAAGCAGGGGAAGTAGAGGAAGTGGGGTTGAGACATGGTTGGTATGTAGAGTGGGGCTCATGTTCTCTGCCTCTGTGGGTGTTTGGATGTTCCCAGGAGTGTGTTCAGACATTAATCCACGTGTGGAGTGATTGCCAAGGAGCACTCAGTTGAAAAAGCAAGATGTGCCGGTGTGAGCATGCTTGCACGTGAGGTGAGGAGGCATGGAGCTCAGGCAGGTGGGCACTGTGACATGGGGTTTGTGGGTAGGAGAGGGCGCCTGGACGCAGGTATGTGCGGATGCCCCAAGGGCACCCCGGAATGCAGGTGGGGTGTGAGGATTTGGGTAGCTGTGGAGGGTGTGGGAGGGACTTGGATGTAGATCTCCACCTCTCAAGCTGTTCTGGGAGCTTAGGGACTAATAGGCCTCAGTGCTGTGATGGGAGGGCCTTCTCCCCAGCACCTTGCTCTCAGTGACCTGCCCCCTCCCTCTCCAAGTGGCCCACCCTCACATGGTCCCCAGGGCTATGCCCAGAAACCCTCAGTGCAGCCAAGCGCAACAGCTCCCTGGCCCACTCTAGCTTGCCCCCTCTCCAAAAGCCCTCTCCAGCCACCTCCAGAAAGCTCCCCTGGCATGTTTTCCCACACGAGCCTGGGCACTCTTGAGAACAGGGACAGTGGCTGCCTCATGGCAGTCCCCAGCCCTGCCTGGCCTGGGCCGAGTCCAGGTAAATGCTGCCTAGGTGCAAAGTGTGGCCTGGTGGGCCGGCCTCTGGGGCAGGCAGTGAGCTGGCCAGCAGCCAATTGTGAGACAACTCCAGCATGTACTTAGTTTCATGGGGCAGTACCAGATCAAGTGTGCTGGCCAACACATGGCTTAGTTCCTCCTTTGGCCAGGACAGTAAGTTCATCCAGATGGGAGGCTGGAGGGGGAGAGCCCCAGATGGCTGGGACTGATTGTCCTGAGGTCCCTGAGCCTCCAGGGCTGGTGGAGAACAGCCCATGCACGAGCCCTCTGGCCTGGCATTGGAGGATCAATGAGGTGGTCATTGTGGCTGGGCAGAGGGGCAGTGGGGGGCAGAGAGGATATAGGGGGCAATCACATAGTGCTTGGACGCTGGGCTGAGTGAAAGGGCAGTAACAACAGAGGGCTATTTTCTTTACCACCTCATGGTAAAAAACAGATGATGGATGGACAAATGATAGATGAACAGATGACAGATGACGGATAGATGAGCTATGATGTAGATGTAGATAGATGATAGATGACAGATAGGTGATGGGTGGATAGATGAGATATAGATGTAGATAGATGATAGATGACAGGTGATGGGTGGATAGATGGGATATGATGTAGATGTAGACAGATGATAGATGACAGATAGGTGATGGGTGGATAGATATGATGTAGATGTAGATAGATGATACAGGACAGATAGGTGATGGGTGGATAGATGAGATATGATGTAGATGTAGATAGATGATAGATGACAGGTGATGGGCGGATAGATGAGATATGATGTAGATGTAGATAGATGATAGA